TTTTAGTAGTTTCATAGCTTCAGGTCTTAGATTTAAGTCTTTAATCCATTTTGATTTGATTTTTGTATATGCTGAGAGATGAGGGTCTAGAAGTTTCATTCTTCTGCATATGGATATTCAGTTTTCCCAACACCATTTACTGAAGAAACTGTCCTTTCTCCACTCTATGTTCTGGGCAGCTTTGTTGAAGCTAAGTTCATAATATCTGTGTGGATTTATTTCTGGGTCCCCTATTCATACATAAGGACTATCCTTTGGTTGACACTTGCAGGTACTCTTTGAATATAATCTGTCGTCTGGTTCTCCTTTTTTTTGTTCTCCCGTTTTCCTTTTCTGCCTTATTTATTGTTCACACTTTTGTTTAGAACCATCCCAAATTTATCTGATAAAACCTAGTGAGGTTGTCTCTCCTGATTGTTAACAGATCACAGCACAACCTTAAAGTATTTTCCCAGTGACCCATTGACAGGACCTTACTTAAGCTCAGCTAAAAGCAGTTTCATTTGGGTCCATATATCCTAACAATGAGGTGCTCCACTGGATATAGTTTTAAGTCTATATATAGCCAATGGGCTGTAAATAGCTAATATTTTGTTAATAATCCAATTTTCATTTTAGGGACTAAATTACCAACTCTAGATGATTACACTGCATGTGAACTGAAGGAATGTGAACTGAAGGAAGTTAGTCTAGGTTGCACAATCAAAGGTGAGTCTAGACACCATCCAACTATGTGGACACAGTTTTTTTCTGATTGCTTAGCTACAGCAGTTAGAGTTTAGCATTAACAGAAGTGATTGTTTTAAATATAAGATGTATTGGTTAGGAATGTATTCAGCTTTGAGAAACAGAAAACCCAACAGTAGTGGTTTAAACTTGTATGGGGCTTACATTTCCATAAAATTGAGCTGCAGACATAGGCAGTCCAATGCTGGTGCAGCTCCTCAGGACTGTCACTGTTGATCCAGGTTCCATGTATTTGCCTGCTCCACCACCTTTCATGGGTGCCTTTTGCCCCATGGTTGGAAGATGGCTGCCAACTTGTCAGGTATGACTTTCAGCTCCAAGCAAGGAGGGCAAAGGACAAGCTTTACCCTCATGAGACTTTGACTTTTTTTTCAGGAAAGAAAGTCCTCTTTGGAATTTCTGCCTATATTTCATTGGCTAAAACTGGTTTCCATGGCCAGCCCTAACTATGTGGAGGCTGCGAATTCAAATAGTTAACTTTGCAGTATCCACAGTAAAGGACATCAAGAAAGAAATTGACTGAAATGTATCTGGAGTGATCTAAGCCTTCATACTTTAATGGCTTCCGTACAAGGGAACCTCAGGGTTTTAGGGCATATATATATATATATATATATATATATATATATATATATATGTACACATACACACATATATGCGTTTTTAATTATTTGATTCACTCAGTGACACATTTTCTCCATTAAAGGAGCTCAGGGAGAAAATGTTTTGTTCAGTCCTAGGTAGGTGTGCTTGACAGTGCTTAATATCACCAGCACTGAAGGTAATAAATGTTATCCTTTTTTTCTATCATGAATATGAATGACACTCTGAAGGCTGAATGCAACCTAAGAATTTACGTGAGAAATGAAGCATGCAACATTTTTGAAAATATATTAGCCCGAAGTCTGTATTACTGCATATTTTATACCCTTTTCAATATGCTACAAAAGGTTTGAGCCATCAACTGAATGCTGCCAGAGAAGAACAAACATGAACAAGGATACAAAAATAAATGCTGGGAGATGAGTTTTCCCAAGATGTTCTTTATGGTTGGTGTAATGATCACAGTACTAAGCAGACTGCTTTCCTTCAAACTCTCCCTATCAGCACTTCTCCTGCAAACGTGGTTCTCCAACAAGTTTATCCCAGTCCAAGTATGCAGATATATGCATGCAGCAGAGCAAGTCCTGGAGAAAGCATCCCATGAACATCTCCTGCCCCAGTTGTTTGGTGCCTTGTACCTTCTTCCATGCCTGAGACCTTCTCTCCCATTTCCTTTCCATGAAGGAAACCCATCTTCTTGAGTACTTTCTGATTGGAAATCCAGTTGTTTAAATCTTTTATTCTGAACATTTTTAGTGTCTAAAATATATTTTGTAGGTAGGTATGTTTGTATGATAATTATAGCTACTAAAATGATTTATGTTCTATGAACTTTATACCATGTTACTAATATTCAGAAAATGGCCATGAGAAATTATTTACCCTGAGACATTATTCATTCTTTTAATCCTTTCTACTTTTGGATAGTTTTTAAAAGAATTCTATAATGAATATATATCATTCCCATAATAAGGAACAAAAATCAACGTCATTTTTTCCAGGAGGCTGTTGTTTTCCAGGATCATACCTGAGTCAAGTTTGGACTTGTAAAGTGAAAATGCATGGGGCATCACATCTGTGGACAAGTGCCCATGGCTATGGTTTGGATGTTTGTCCCCTGCAAACCTCATGTTGAAATTTGATCCTCAGTGTTGGTGGTGGTGTCTAATGGCAGGTGTTTGGGTCATGGAAATGAATCCCTCGTGTGTAGATTAATGTTTTCCCTCAGAAGTGAGTGAGTTCTCACTCTATTAATTTCCAATAGAATTCCCCTAAGAGCTGGTTGTTAGAAAGAGCCTAGCACTCCAGGTCTCTCTCACTTCTCTCTAACCATGTGGTCTCTGCACAGGTCAGCTCCCCTTCATCTTTCACCATGATTGGAAGCAGTATGAGGTCCTCACCAGATGCAGATGCCCAATCTTGGTCATCAGAATCATGAGCCAAATAAACCGTTTTTCTTTATAAATTACCCAGTCTTAGATATTCCTTCATAGCAACACAAAACAAAGTAAGATACCACCAACTGTCTCTATTCCAAGAGTTTCATGGTTCATGTACTGAACACCATCCAGAGATTCACATAACAATACCCATTCCCAGTCATGGCAATTCAGGTAGAGAGGAGTGAGGCACAGAAGTCTGCATTTTTAACAAGTCCTCCAAGTGAGTCTGATACAGACAGTCCCCAGGTCACACTTGGAAAAACACTGCTCTGATAGTTATTTGCCCACTGGTGGGAGGCCAAGGTCAGTGCCAAAGTCCACTCTAATGCCCACAGACAAGCAAGTTTCCTCTTTACACCAGACTTGCCTCTCTACCTGAGAATGGTTCCCTTCTTCCCATCTTTTAAAGGGTAAATTGCATCCACTTCTTCTCAGTCAGAAGGAGTTATTAAATCACTATTTTGTATAATGCTTCTTGTTAAACCCAAGTATTCTGTCATACAGATGAATGTTTCTTAAATTCAATTGAATGCCTACTATGAATAAGAACGGAGTTATTAAAGATAGATACGACCAGTGCCTACCCTCAAATGATAATTTCTAGATTAGAAGGCTTCTGCTTCCCTGTCACTGTGTATGAATTCCTTTAATTGTTAGTGATAAACTATATGGCACAATAGAATGGCTACCATTCTAGAAGCACCATTTTTTTTTTTGCCAATTAAAACTTCCAAAAGCACTGGTCTCAGGGTAAAGACGTGTCTTTCTTCTAAGAACATTCTACATGATTTTCTTCTTTCAAGAGATGGTTCTATTTTTCTACTAACCACCTAAATAAAGATTTCTTTTGGTATAAGGCATATCTGGGGAGTTCTTCTTGTAAACCAGCCATTATTTTTTCCTGGCTATCAGACAATGCTTCACTTAGATATTATATCTGAGGTCTCATCTGAATTTAGGAAAATGAGACTGCATATTTCACAGATATATTCAGCTGTGCTTGTGAAAGTGTCATCAAGCCTATGCAAAGAGGAAGAGGAAGAGGAGGGGTAGGGGGAAGAGAAGGAGAAAAAAGCAATGACAACTGAATTTCTTTAACCATCCCCTAAATACCAGACATGAAACTCAGTGCTTTAATGAAATATCTAACTGAATACTCATGAAAGCCCTGAGATAGAGGTTTCTAATAGACCTGTCTTACAGATGATGAAAACTGAGGCAGAGGGAGACAAGATAAATTGCACAAAGTCACAGAGGTACTAGGAGCCAAACGAAGATTCAAACTAATTCGTGTCTGATTACAGAGCTCTCATCCATGCACTCTGGGAGAAGCCACTGGAGGTGGAGCTCAGCCAATGTGTTAGCATGCTTTGTCACATGGGGGATAATCCTGGCAGCATCAGAGCAACCAGCGGCAACTGAAGCCATAGTGGATCAAAAGTTATGTTCCACTGTCTAATTCATCAGAGACCTTCGACAGCCTCAGAAATCAGGTTGGGTATAGGAATGCAGGCTCTCTATCCTCTGCCTGTAGATCAATCTACTGCAGCAAGGAAGGTCAGTTATAAACTTTCTAATAAAATATCAGAATGATTAAAGTGATCCTCATGGCTGTCAGAAAAATATCAAAAATCAGTCTGATTCCTGAGTTGGCCCTATTAACTCATTTACTCTTTCTTGTTACAGGATGAATAGCAAGTGTCTGGCAATTAATTAATGTTATGTTGTTGTTATTAGGGAGCATCAACATTCAGGTAGTCTTAATTTCCCAAATTCCTGGGATAATTAATGTAATTTTTAAAGGAGTAGGTCAGGAATCACAGTATAGGTTTTTATATCGAATGTAAAAGCACAAGACATGTGCCCCACACTGAGGGTTGCCATATAGTTCTTAGCACTTAGCCTAAGTCTAGTCAAAGAACACCTCAGTATGTTAATTTAATAGGCCAGAGTTACTTATCAAAAGGCTGTAGAGTACAATGTTTTGCATAATCAACATGGTTTATTGTCTCGTCATTTGAATTTTTTTCATTCATATTCTAATTCACAGAAGCATGAGCATATCAATTATAAAACAACCTATAATAACTAAATACAAAACAGATACAAGGCTGTCTAAATGTTGTACAATACATATAACATATTATGGAGCTCATTAACAAGATGATTTTCACAAAGCACCATGTGAAGGTTGATTATTCATATTACCTGATCGGAAGTTCTTTGCAGTTTTTTTCCTTGAAGGGTATGTATGGTATTACTCAAAAGAAAATCATCATCATTCTGATCTATGAAAAGAGATAAATGTTACATGCAGATTACCATATATTACAGGATTTAGGAAGTTCAGATGCCATATAATACTCATTATATTTTTATTTACTCTATTAAGGCCTTATATTGGCTAGGTCATAAATGTTTCTTTTCTTAAAGATTTGATTTTTTATGTAAGAGACAGATCAAAATAGAAATAGAAATTTAACAAAACAAAAACCAAGAATTCCACTGACCAGTAGTGTCCCTGAGAAAGTCATGGAACCTCAGTGGGACTCACTTTCTCTCTTGCTAATAAAAGGATAGCGTATTACCTACAAAAGCCACTTCTAACTCCAAAGTGCTATGATTCTATGTGGTTATCACCTCACCTGTTTCTGTTAAACTAAGCTTTCCATCTCTGGCATTTTGAGCTTCATTAGCCTAGGTCTCCTCAACATGAATTATTTATGTCAAAATTGCTCTATACATGCTTTAGTAAAAGCTTTGGAATGTGGCATCCGTGTGCTTGCAGCTAAATGAAACCTTTTCAAAAGCAGCACTTCCTTTTCAGCTCCTGTAAAAGGGGGTTCATTATTTAAATCTGATCCATACATTGTGTTAAAAGAGGAAAAACCTTTATGGATCACTCAATTCAGGCCTCTTATTTTATAGATGGTTATACTGTGACCCACAGAAATCACCTGGCCCCCAGTCCAATGACTTTTCCTTCACTTTCACTCCTTTCTACTTGCAACCACTGCTTCAATTATCCACTCTTCTTCATTCTCATATTATGTGGGAGAAGAAGGGATAGGCAAGGCCTATCCTTCATGCATGGTGTAAAATAGGTTCAAATATTCCTCTAAATCCTCATCACAGGTATGTTTAAAATATATGCTAAATTCACAGCTCAGACTATGAGTTATTTGTATTAATAACTTAATATTTAAAGTCAGAGTAACCATGCTACAGGATTTTGGAAAGTACTTAAATTTCAAAATGAGCTGGTTTTATGATATTATTCTTTGAAACAAGATCTTTTATCACAAGGTCAGGCTGCTAGGAGCTGAGTTTTTGCAGCTTGTTTTTGTTTTTAGTTTTTGTATTTAAAAACAAATTTATTTCCTCTCTTTTTTTTATTTTCCATCTCTTCTCTTTTTTGATCCCTTTAACATGAATTTTGGATAACCCTTATTATAGGCATTCATGTAAGTATAGAAAAAGAAGGTTAAAGCGGCCTCCTATGCTCTAGAATCTAGAATTGAGCTGAAGAAATAAGATATGAATATGTACAGTGCACTTCTATAACAACACAAAGCAATAAAATGAGTGATTCAGACACAACTCTGAGGGGAAAGATCATTATGATCCAGAGAACTTGTAGGAGAGGCAGGGCCAGAATGGAAGCCTGAAGAATGGAGATAGTTTGAAAAGGTAGAAGGAAAAGAAAAGGTACAAATATAGCAGCAATGCTATGTACACTAGCTTATAGTAGAGAATAAATGGAACATGTTTAATTAAAACTAGTTCAACCTCTGTGGAAAGCAATATGGAGATACCTTAAAGCGATACAAGTGAATCTACCATTTGATCCAGCAATCCCATTGCTGGGCATCTACTCAAAAGATCCAATGACACTCTACAAAAAAGACACCTGCACTCGAATGTTTATAGCAGCACAATTCATAATTGCAAGGCTATGGAAACAGCCCAAGCGCCCATCAATCCAAGAATGGATCAATAAAATGTGGTATATGTATACTATGGAGTACTATTCAGCTCTAAGAAACAATGGTGATATAGCACATCTTATATTTTCCTGGTTAGAGCTGGAACCCATACTACTAAGTGAAGTTTCCCAAGAATGGAAAAACAAGCACCACATATACTCACCAGCAAACTGGTATTAAATGAGCAGCACCTAAGTGGTCACATAGGTACTACAGTAATAGGGTATTGGGCAGGTGGGAGGGGGGAGGGGGGCGGGTATATACATACATAATGAGTGAGATATGCACCATCTGGGGGATGGTCATGCTGGAGACTCAGACTTGTGGGGGGAGGGGGAAATGGGCATTTATTGAAATCTTAAAATCTGTACCCCCATAATATGCTGAAATAAAAAAAATAAGTAAAAAGAAAAAAAGTTCAGATTGAGACTGGTGAAGCCAGAGGGCAATTCTGTATATAAGGTAGGGCTGGATGGGTGAGTATGCTCTATATTCAAATTGTAACGGGCCTTGTGTACCAGGACATAACCCACTAGGTCAATATTGCAAGTATAAATATCTACAGGAGTCAAATAAGTAACTTAACTAAATGAAGTGTATTTGGTCAAGGAGGCAAAGGGAATTCTTTAGTAGGGAGGAAGGACAGCTCCCAAGCCAAAGGGCTGGTTATTTATTTGTGATTTCTCAAATATTACCCTACAAAGCGAACATTTATAAGGACAGAAGTAATTGAGTCCCAAGTGGCAAGAAATACGTCAGTTGAATTAGGCAATATACCTAGGTTGTTTTTTCTAAAGGTGGCCACAACCATATCTCCCATACCACTTGTTCTTTTGCAATGTGACCTTGCCACTCCTCCATCAAGAAATGCAGTCTAATTCCCCTCCTATTGAACCTGTGCTGATCTTAGTGACTCACTGTCACAGTAGACTGCAGTGGAAGGTACACTTTGTGATTTCCAAGGCTAGATCAGAAGAAGCTTTGCAGCTTCTACCTTGGTCTCTCGGGATACTCATTTCTAGACACTTCATCAAGTGATGTGTGAAGCTTTCTTGCATGTTGTTCCTTCTTGAAACCCAGCCATTAGCCTAGGAGAAGCTGAAGTCACATGGAGAGGCCACATATAGGTTCTCTACTAGAGTTTTCAGTTCCAGCAGAGCCCAGCCTAACTCAGACCAGGTGCCAGACATGTAAATGAAGAAGGCTCTAAATAATTGCAACTACCAGATGTTTAAGTTCTCCCCAGTCCTCAAGTCTTCCCAAATAAAGCAGTACCCTGACTGAGTTCCTGACCTGCAAAATTTATGAGCCTAACAAAATGTTGCTTTATGCCAGTACGTACTGAGGTGGTTTGTTGGAAGCAATAGACTATCAAAACATGCATGAACTATATGGTGGATCACAAACATCAGTGTGCCTAAAAATGTAATATCCAGCATAAAAACAGATACTTCAACTGCCATTGGAGAGGCAACAAAAAAGGGGAGGATGAGATAATGTAGATACTTCTGACCATATTAATTTTCAAACAGGCAATTATAATCCTAGTAAGAACTCCCCTAAAAAACTGATAGATCCCAAGATTCATTTGTACAAAATGCTAGAATTCTCAGTGTTCTCAACATTCAATTCAGAAAGCTTTCTTTGGAAATATAAGAGGCACCACACCACTGCAGCAGGTAGCCCTTGCTCAGGTAGTTTATTATCATAATGTAAGTGAGCATGGAGGTGTGAATAGAACATCCCTCTGGCATTCCTCATGTAGTCCAGTGTAGCCACAGTTAAATTACCTGCTCTTAGGAAACAATTATTTTAAATTAAATGTGCATTCCCTGAAAATTAACCAGAATGGTAAATACATTTGTGACTTTATAATTTGCCATCTTGAAATTAAGGTATCAGATCAGTAAAGAAAAAGAATAAAGTCTTGAAAAATTAAGCCAAAATATTTATATGTTTATATTGAAGAGGCTGGACAAATAGTGATATTGACTAGAATTCACAAGAGAAGGGAGGTTTCAAACCAATGGTAATTTCACTGGTAGACTAGAAGGCCCTAAGAACCCCTTCCTCCCCCAATGGGTTTCTCCTTTGATAATGAATCTTATCAAACCCATATGTAAAGATGACTTATTTTTAAAGTAATTTTACAGTAGTGTGGGTGAAGTTAATATTCCTTTTATTATTAACCATGTTTTCTGACCTTATTTGGTCCATTACTTCTTTGACTAACAGATACCATTTTTTTCCCCAAATCTTTCTTATGGAATAGTCTATCACAGTTACACTGATTGTTTGAAAAATCTCTAAATCTCCAAATATGTTGTTTTCTTTTTATTATTTTTTCAATGTTGCTTTGTTTTTATTCTTTTTACTTTCTGGTATAAAATATGAAAACCCTGTTCTTCAAACTATCTTTACTTAAATCATAACTTAATCTTGGGTTTACTCCAATCCATAGATTTCAGGAAGTTAGTTCTTTCTTCTCACTTTTTTTTCATTAAACTAAAGCCAAAATAAATTTAAAGATTTTAAAATGTACTTTAACTTACTAAAATTAATATTATGAATATTCCCCCTGTTTTATAATGCTGAAAATGAAACAATTAACATGAATTACAGATTAATTTCCCTCGTCACGTAAGCTATGCCAATTTTTTAGGTGTAAAGTCCTAAGCACGTAATTTATCATACATTTATTTTACAGATGTAATCTCTTTTAATACACACAGATGTAGGTTTAGATAAAAATCTTAAACGAAGGAAATGGACTAGATAAACTAAAAATATGCTTCCGGCACTCAACGTATTCCGATAAATTTTGTCATAACCTATATAGTACAGTAATGTTGTTGAGCTCTGTGAATATCTTTATGGATTAAAACACCAGGCACAAGTCCTCAGCTAAATACAGCCTATGGAAGTTTTTCATCAGGTCTCAGTACTCTTTAGGGCTGAAATGCTATTAATACAATATGTGTCATGTAGAAATACCATTTTGAAATTGAAATTGAGGAAAATGGCCCTTTTTTGTGTGTTGGAGTTTGTAACAGATTGTTTAGGAGTTAATGTCACTCCTACAGTTTATTTCCCTATATATTCTTTTTCTGTTTTATTGAGGCTCTCTTTACAATTTTGTTATTAATGTCCAATAAAATCATGCTGTGCTGTGGATGATAGCTATGATGCACTTTTCCATCTTCATCCCACTAAACTTCACAGACTGCCTATCTTCAGGTACAGTGAACTATTCTTAAGTAATTATGTAATTAACAACCAAATAGTAGTGTTTAAAATGAGAAAGAAATATTATGGGTTGATATACAGGGCACTAATTGCTTAGAAATACTCTGAGCCTTCCAAATGAAGCTACTACACCCATAAAATTTGAGCCTACAACTTGTGGCCCTGAATTGCCCCCTTCAATTTATAATGGTATCGACAGTCTTGGTCTCAGGCCATCAACTCTTCCTAGCATGGCATTAATCCCTAGGAAATGTCCTGTGACTCAACTGCTACTGATGAAAGGTCAGCTGAACCTCTTGGAGACACACACACACTCACACCAAACATACATGGTCACTAAAGAACCTGAGAAATATTAAAGCTGTAATGGCTTTCTTTTTTCTTCTCCCACAAAGCAATCAGAAGCATCTCAACCTAAGGCTAAGATCCTTTGCTGCCTTGTCAATGATTGCCTGCCTATTATTCTTAAGTTAACAAAACAAGACAAAACAACACATTTCACAGAAAGGTAGTTTTAAGAAATAGAATACTTGAGAAAGTTTATGGCAAAATTTATAATTGAAAATGATCTATAACATAGTTATACCTTCTTTGTCCATAGATCGACATATAATAATGTACAATATAACGTTTTTATTAGAGAGATAGATGAATGGATGAGTGAATAAATAGACAAACTGATGGACAAATGTGTGATTAATTAACTGCAAGTGTGGATGAATATAGTTGGCATCCATGTGGTGAAGACAGAGTCCAACCAAAACATGATAATATTAAATCATTCCCTTTATTGTAATTAAAAGAAAATGTTTCAAATAATCATAAAATATTTCACCTGTTTATTTATTACAGCAAAATTTTAAATATTTAAAAGTTCAAGTTAAAAGTACTTACCAAAATGTTACATAATCTTGCATAAAATAGAAATATTTCAAAGAAAAATTATTATTTTCATAAATAATTGCTTTATAAATCTAAGAGCTTTGTGAAAAAAGTAAAACACAAAATCTGGACAGATTATATAATCAAACTACTAAACCCCCAACCATAAAAGTATATTAACTTTTACTTTGTTCCAAAATATTAAAAACTTTTTTGTTAAACATCAAAAATTCATAAATTTTCAATGACCAATATCATCCATTTTTCTTCTTATTCCAATAACCTTGGGGAGTGTCTACCAAGCAGATCATCTTTTCATGCTGTTGTTCATCTTTGTGAACTCTTAAAACTGTCTGTTTTATTCATTGGCTTCCCAAAGTTAAATAATTTTAATTATGAAGTCATTTATTATTAATAAATTCTTCTATACCTGACTGCTAATTTGCTCTTCCTGGGAATTTTTAAATTATAAAATTGTGTAGTTTTGAATTAATAATCAAGGCTATTTCTCTTGAATGTTTTTAGAAACCCTAAACATAACAACTATTAACATAACTGATGTCATTTTAGAGGGTTTTTCTATGTGCTGATTTTTAATACGTTTTTAAATTCTTTCAGATATTAAAACCTTTCAAATATTATTTGCAATTGATCCTTTGCTTCAACAGGCAAGTTGGATTCCACTTCCCTCCTGTATGTGCAACTATGTGACATATGTATGAACACATGTATGCGTATACATGCATACATCAATAATTTATAACAATATATATTCTACCTTATTTGCTTTTCCTTTTTAAGTAGACCATAGTGCTCTGCTTATTTTAATGGTGAAAGATGTAAATTTTTCTTACCTGCCCTTTAAACTACTTTGGGAAAATGCAAAGTCAGCTAAACTAAATTTAGCAATTACCTTGTAGCTGACAGGGCCTTCTGATGTAGGAATCATTCTCAGGCTTGCTGGTTTCCTGCCAGATTTTATCATTCACAGTTTTTCCTTCTAAAGTAAAGCAGAAGATTGGTTAGCACAATTTACAGTAACATCCAGTAAGTGTAAGAAATTTGAAATCAAAACAAGTTCAGCACACAGTTGTAACTCGGTAAGTGGTATCTTAAGAAAGCTCTGTGGCCTGTCACTGGAAGTTCTAGTCCTTCATAAACAACCCTAGGTGTCCTGTGGGCTGCCCATTTATTTCCATGAACTTCATAAACACCCAGGCATATATGGTAGAATGCTGGTACTCGAGTGCCTCTGTTTTTTTTCCTGCATATTATGGGGGTACAGATTTTAAGATTTCAATAAATGCCCATTCTCCCCCTCCCCCGACAAGTCTGAGTCTTCAGCATGACCATCCCCTAGATGGTGCACATCTCACTCATTACATATGTATATACCCGCCTCCCTCTCCCCTCCCACCTGCCCAATACCCTATTACTGTAGTACCTATGTGTCCACTTAGGTGCTGCTCAGTTAATACCAATTTGTTGGTGAGTATATGTGGTGCTTGTTTTTCCATTCTTGGGAAACTTCACTTAATAGTATGGGTTCCCCTTGATAGCTTATGATTACTTTATTCTTTAAGTAGCTTTCTTAAATTAATAACCACTTATTTTTATTCATAAGTTAAAAGTCCCCACCCCCCATATTCCCTAACATTTTGAACAAGATTATTAAGTATAGAGAGAACATTGAACGGTGATAGTTTCAAGAAACTGTAAGACTCTGAGTGTAAGGACCAGCCTTGACTTCCCAACACCTAGAGCAGGGCCTGGACACATGATGAAGTGAACTAAACCAAATGAAAAATTGGAATTACTTCTAAATTACTTATCAAAGGTTAATCATTCAACATGCTGTACCATACATTTATAAAACAAATTTTAAATAAGACAACTAAAGCTCAGCATGGACACAGACTCAGAATGCTGTGTTGTTTTTAAGTCACTATTTTCTCTTATCTGTTGATTATAGGAAATGCAGTTGATTAGCAAGAATTATGTTAGGATGGAAATGTGTAGTCTTATATACACAAACAGAACAGACTACTCTGAGAATCGATCTAGATGGAAAATCACGTTTTGTCTTACTTTCTTTTACTTAAGACTATGCATTATTCAAATCAGTGTTGATATTCAAAATATTTAGTAATCAGTTCTTTATAAGATCCTGACTAATGACATAGACTCAGAACCTATAGGTACCACTGCTGGAAGAGTATCAAACCTGATTAAAAATGCAGATATCCTTGGAAGATGCAACACTGAAGAATATCGCCTTGGTCAGATGAGCTTTTCAGAACCTGACTAGAAATTAGTTTTTAAAAAGGAGGGAAATGGGGATGAACACCTGACTCCTAAGCTCTGCTGGGGAAAAGGAAAGAGAAAGGGAACCCATAAGTTTGACACACTGCATAAAAAAAATGCATTCTTGAATAGATAACTTTGCTGTTTTACTATTGTGAATGTTTTGTAATTACTGTCTACCTGTATTATATAAAGGAAGAAGACATATATGATCTATAACTTTCTAAAAAGTAATTATTATAATTTGATTTTTACTTTAGAATTAAAATACTCATCAGACTAATTGCCTTTATTATTACTGTGGATGTTATATTACAAAAATTAAATGGAATATCTGGTGTGTGAAATTCTGTGGCATTCTTTTGTAATAAAACCATTTTCTTCTTTTTTCTTCACTCCTAGATTCATAGGTCTGAAAAGATTTCTAACAGGTCACCTTGACCATAACCAGCCAAGCTAAATGTGGAGAGCTGGAAGATAATCAGCCAACAAACCACCAAAGAGAATTATTCTTTTTAAATATAAAAGGAAATTATTCTGAATAAATCAATGATTTCTTTGTCTTTGTCACTTAAAGTTAGAATTGAGCCACATCTCTTTGTTTTAATTTCTTCCATAGAATTCAAAGACAACTCAATTTGACTTTCATTAATCACTTATGGTTGCTTTATAGCAGTAGCAATAGAAAAGAACTTTTAGCGAAACAGAATATATCATTTTAGGAGTAACCTTATGAATCACTAACCAAATATTTTATTTTCAGACATAAATCTCCGGAATGACCTAGAAAAATAAGAGAAACATATTTAAGTCTAGATTTAACAAGTAATATTTTAATCAAACAGAAATTAGAATGTGTGCAATGCTTTTGAGAGTAGAAATTAATTGTACCTCTAAATAAAGACTACTTATACTCTTGATTTCCCTAACCTTAGGTGGCAAATTACAGTTAATATAAATATAACATTGGTCTGAAAATTTCCATGCAATATGGAGAAACTAATATTCATAAAACCTAAAAAAACGATGATGCATTTTTACATGAATGTATCCAAGGAAAACCAAGAGTTAATGGGGAAAGTTCTTTTCCAAATAATTCTTTTTAATAAATATAGAAAGAATGATGCAAATTGAATATAACCATTATGCAATTCTTACTAAAACAATAGATACAGAAAATAATCAACGATTTCTGCTAAAGCCTTTAGTTGAAGAGCTGATGGGCAACTTTGAGCTACATTGATCAACCTGATACCATCTGAACCCACTGAGCAATATCACCATAAAAATAGAGATGACCAGATATACAACTTACAGTGCAATGCAGTGGGAAGTACACGGTCACTGAAGACCTACTTTTAAATATATATATTTGAATCTTATCACACTTTGTATATACTTGAATCTTTAACTAAAAATGTACAGGAAACATAGCATATACAAGAACATGTTTTTAAAAAATCACAAGGATTCAATTAGCAAAATTCAAAAATTATGGAAAGTTCCACAGGACACGCATCCCAGTTTCTTCAATAAATAAATGAAGAGACCTGTAAATTAAGAGACATGAGCTGAATGTATGACATGGAGTTCTTTGGATCCTGATTCAAATAAACCAATTCTGAAAAATCACTTGAGTCTGTCCAAGAAATTTTAGAATTGACTACCTGTTTTTTGATATCAAGTGATTTTTCTTATTTTGTTCTAGTGCAGTAGTGGTATTGTGATTATGCTTTTCTAAAAAATAGTTCTTTTTTTATAACGATACATACTGCAGCATGAAATTATATATCTGGCATCTGCTTTATTAAAAAAAACAGTGAGGGTGGAGGAAGTAGGGTGGGTAGAGATAAAGTAAGATTGATGAGAGGTTGATACTTGTCCAAGTTTGGCGATGTGATCTCATCATTATCTCTTCCTGTGCATATGACTTAGAATTTCTGTGATGCAATTTTTAAAACAGAAACAGAGGATGGAACTTTGCTGACCTAACTATGCTAGTCAATTTACTCATGCAGTGAACACACATATCCCCTACATATAACTAACCTTATTATAGCTTAAGTGTTTTCCACTATTGATATCCTTGATAGCCATTAAATTAAAAGTTCATCCTTTTCTATAAGCTCAGAATTATAAGCAAAAGCCTGCATATATAAGGTTTCTTTTTTTCTTAACCATTTTTTGGGTTTGTTTTAAATTTTTTAACGCAAATTGCTTTGGACATCCCTTGGCATATAGCGAGCATTAAAAAAGCTATTTATAATAGTATAAATTGAGGTAGGTATTTAACAACATGACATGTTATTCCCTTCAGGGGAGTGGTGGGCAAAAAAAAATTGAGAAAATCAAAAGGTGTTCAATTTTATTTTAGCTAGTTGTAATCTGAGGAGCATCTTTATTGATTTGCTTTATATTGAAAAAATTATAATTTGAGCAGCATCAAGCACTTTCTCTTTAATATCCTCCTTCTGCCACTCCATGTTTTGGAATCTTCTAATCTCTAGTGGTATAAACCAAGCCCACAGCTACAATTTTGTTTAGGTATTTGCTATGGAATTCATGAAGTCTTTATCTACAGAAAGAATAAACAGCCTGTTAGGTGGGTCAGTAAGACTGAGAAGGGCTCTGCCACAGCCCCTTCTTCACTCCAACTCATGCTTAACATGCCAATGTTGTATTTTAGGTAGTTAATTATGGCTAAAGTACAACCCCTGCCTGGCAGGTGCTCTAAGCTGTTACTCATCCAGTTACCTACTTACTATGAATGTGTCTTATATCCTTAACTGGGAGACAGCTTTGAGCAGGAAAGAGAGGAAAGAATATGACAAGCACAGAGTGCCTGAGTGGGGATAAAGTAAGGGCTGCTGAGAAAGAGGACACCCAGAGAAAACTTCATGTAATTCACGAGTTCAAGGAAGCCATTTTTCTGTATTGTCAGCAACCAATCTGGAAATTTCCCCATAAACCAACTTCCTGCCCCTGTGTATTTCCTGCTTATTAGTAAAAATCCCATTACCTTATGCAACATGTCTATGTTACATCCTCTGGCAGCTGGATGTGCTCAATGTAAAGCCAGGCCTGACCTAAATAACCCAAACCTCTTTGCAAACACATTTTTATGTGGATTAGAAAAAATTTTCAGATTTATAGGTCACTGATAGAAATATGTTTTCATGAAGGCTCCCACTTTAATCTGAGCCTAGTTTAAACACAGGTTTCTTCTTCTGAAAATTTAATTTTCACATCCCTGTCTACAAGAATGTCACAACACATTTCCTATGCATCAGCATAAACAGAGAAATGGTAGCAGGGTAATACACACTTAGATTTGTACATGACAGTTTAAAAAAAGTGATCTGGCAGGAAGCCCACTAAAATAATCATATTCAACACTACAGAGCTAAGGGAACACATAAAGTTTATAAAGTAAATTTGACTTACTTTCTTTTTTTTGGTTTTGCATTCTCCAAATTAGAAACTTCCTGTAAAATAAAATAAAATAAATAAAACAAAACTACTCCAAGAAATCACAAAGAGAATTCAAGTATAGTTCATCTTTGAGTATAATCCAAGTTTAGTTCATTTTGCCTTTTTCCTGGAAAAAAATAAAAGGTTATGTATTCTACCTTGTATTTTAGTAATGTGTCGTAGAATCTTGTCTCAAGTTTTTATGTTTTTCTTCTTTTGTATTTGTAACTTTGAGAAAGATAAGATGGTTCCTTTATTAACTAGAGCTTACACCTTATTTTAATAAAAACAGGTCTTTTAAATAAAAACATGCAATTAAATCCTCACAACCTCAACCTCCCACATCAACCCACCAAATCCAAGGGAAGAGATACATACCAGGGTATGCTAATCACATTATATAGTACCTTCTTTTGAGAAAGATGGAAAGTAGCCTATCACGATGCCTGAGGGTATTAAAACACATCTCTGATTCATCTGACCTTTTACTTCAGAGCAAAAACTGACTGTTGTGTAAAATCTCTTAAACTTTTGGGGAAACGTGTCACCACATCTTTCACCATCCTTGAAGGAACTTAAACAGCCCCCAGGCACCTTTAAGAATCCTTCAGAGTCTCTATCATTTATCCACTCCTTGATTTAGAAAACATTTGCTGAACACTGAACATCTACTACATGATAGGCAACAGATCATATTCTGGAGAGGTTTGTTTGTTTGGCATGGTAGAAATTTATGACCAATTTTTTGTGAAATTGGTGACCAATATTTCACTTAGGGGAAAAAATGCAAATGCTAAGGCTAGGAAAAATGGTGAGTAAAAATCAGAAAAAGGAAAGTTGTTCTATTATTCAAATGGTTAATAGTATCAGACTGAGCACAGTCAAATCAAATCAGAAAAAGGAAAGTTGATTTTATTCAAATGGTTAATAGTATCAGTCTGAGCACAGTCAAATCCATGGTAACCCTTTCCTATACATAGTGATTGAGGGGCCCACTTCTCTAATTCTCGTTTTGTTTGTATCCAGATTTAACTGTCATAGGACAATTTAAATTTTCTATTTTCCCAGTTATTGAACAGAGCTTCAGTGAAACCTTACATGCCAAAACAATCAGTTCCTGAACTTTAGAAACAAGTTTTGCCAAGTTTGAAATGCCTGTGGATCAACCAGAGGGCACTGCTAGTAGGGAAGTAAGGGAGGAAGCCCTGACATGAATTGAGATGTCAAAGACCTTTGAGGAGTTAATGGTCAGACTGACCACTCCTTCCATTCTCTATGTTTTGTCATCATGTGTCCTAAGAGTACCAAATCTCTATTCAAAGTCTTTTAAGGATATCATTTAGATCTTGGCCAGATGTTTCTAAACCTTAGAGCAGAAGCTAATTATGTTTCTTTCACCACAATCAGCAGCCACATACATTTAACCAGCTTTGTGACAGACATCAGGAAAGAAGATAGCCATCCATCCTTATAGTAAAGTTTCCCTATCATAAATACTTGGAACTTACTAGGAAGGAGCAAGCTCCATGTTCACACAATCTATGCAGTCTGGGCCAACTATGCCTCAATAGTCAGAATCCGTTGTCCTGGGTCTCATTAATTTGTTATACAGTTTACATAGATCTCATGGGATTACGAAATTCCACTCTTCAAAATAGAAACTATATTTTGTGACAATAGAAAGGGTATCTAGTCTAGAGTTAGAAAGCACAAAAGTAGATTTTCAAGAAGGAAGATGGGAAACATTAGATACCTTTTGTATTTTCAATCATTCAAATCACAGTACTTTTGAATCCTTGTTTATATCAGCATTTCATTGTCTTTCTATCAAAGAAATTAATTCCAAATGTCTCACAAAATTTATGTGCAATGGAACGAAAGTATTTGAATCAAGAACAGAGAGTATAATTCAAGTATGGCCTCCTGTTTCACCTGAGTGAAGCCTTTGTTAATATTTGCAATCAGGTGCTGGACCCACATGAAGCTGGTTAAATACCTGTGATTGCTGATTAGGGTGAAAGGCACACAGTTAGCTTCTGGTTGAGTTTTGGAGACATCTGGACCCAAACTGAAAGAATTTCATAAGACTATGGATAGAGATTGGTTATTTTTAGAATATACATTTGTCATAACATCCTCTAGGTACTATCCACTTTGCTCTGTTTTACTGGAATTGGAGTCATCTAAATTTTGCTTATAATGAATCAGTTTAGGTTTAGGGATCTTTTGTTAATGAACCTTCTTGTAGTGAATACTTTGGAAAGAATGTTGAGCTAAAACTTCTTTTTAATCTCTATTAAGATGAAAGAGTTAACGTAGTTCTCCTTAGGCAATCTGCTTCCTACAAGGATAGGGAGAGCCAAGCACATTAAATGCAGGTCTGAAGTGTGATTGTATGAGGAAAAAGGATTATTTAAACAGGCCAGTATTATTCTACTTACTTAGAATAATAGGTCTGTTCCCTCGGTGTTGCCTAGTTATAGATTACTACTAAACTGGTTAAGCAGTTTTTAGTATTGCTTGTACCAGACTCAAAGCAGCTGTGGAAAATGTAAACGGCTCTCAATTCTGACTGCTGCTTACATAAGCAGACTGTCACGTACCTTGGAGTTCAGACTCTGGGTTCTTTATTCCTAGAGGGGCAAGTCAAAGAAAGGCTACACACAGCTTTATTTTTAGAACTGCAGCTGTGTGTGTGTGCATATGTGCGTGTGTGTTCATATGTGTTATACTCAGAACTCCAAACGAAAGGCACCATTTCAGAGGGTTAATGAAATGATTCTGTCTAGTTCATTAATTTGACGTGTGCCATAAATACCAGGTAAAACTTACTCCTGTTAGCCTTCATTACATTATCCCCTAAATCAAGCACTAATCATCGGTCTTACCTTTCATTCACTAGGGAGTTTGTGTCTTAATTTAATTTTTACCCCTGGCAGTTGTTGGGAAAATAAAAAAATGAAATGTAGGTAAAGTATTATAAATGGACCAACAGAAAGTAAGGAATATGTCCAACCTGTGTTATTTTTAATGTGAATAAGAGTAGGCTCCAGGAGTAAAACATTTCCATATAACTATGAAATTAGGTCAAATTTTTAAAAAATAGAAATGGAGAAAGAGAAGATGTGCCTTAAAAGAAGAGATAAATTTTATATATCAAATACCATATTTCTATTTTCATGCAGTGGTTACAGATCCTTTGAGGTTGAGTCTAATATGTGCCTGTTTCTTGCATGATTGGTTTTTAAATCTTACTTTCAAATCACAAAGTCAAAGGAAAATGAAGTGAGTATGTCAGAAGCTGTTTTTGCCTAACTAATGGAAATGTGAAAGATGTTTCTTCACCAGAAAAAATTGATTGGCAATAATTGATTGTGTAAATACCATAGTGAATTTTTAAGACCATAGAGCTGATGTGATCTCATTTTTAATTTGAAAATAAATACACTGAGGCTCAAAGTGGTAAATTGACTTATCCAGGGTCATGTCTATGGTGCTTTACTTTGATTAAATGTTGGTTGCTTTTTGTGAATTCTAATATATTCCTTTGAAATTTAACAATTCATTGCATCCTTCCTGCATTCACATTTCAGACAATAAACACTTACTGAGCACCTACTATATACCAGACACTAATTGTAGGAGAGAAAATATTTCTTTCCTCATCCATCATAAAGTTCATGGCTGATATGCCTATGAAAAAAGACAGATTAACAAGACAAAAGATACACATTTATTTAATAAAAAATTTATGTGGCACAGGACCAAATAAAGACCTAGGGAAAACTGTGCATTTTAATGGACAGTTCTGCAGAAGTATGATTAGAGGACAAAAGGGTATGTGTAATGGTAATAAACTGGAGGGGACTTAGCAAGCCTGTGTGTTCAGATTCTTTTTGGTCTCTCTGTATGACACTCCTTCCCTCTGTCACCTGAGGGTATTCAGGGAAGGAGGGAAGGGGAAGTTCAGAGAGTGACCTTCCTGGGCTTTATGGCAGGCTTCAGGGAAAAAGGGGTGGAAAGAATTCTAATTTCTACGTCCTGCTTCAGGGGAGAAGGGGCAAGAGGAATTTCAGTTTCTATGGTCCACTTTAGGAGAGAGGGGGCTGCTTCTGTAGTTTTCTTAATTGTCTTCAGCTTAAGATACTCAGTATGCCAGGGTGCCATATTTTGAGATATTTTGAGGTAGTATTTCCTGTACCCCATCACTGTTTTAGATGCAAAGGCTTTTAACTGAAATGGTCTTTCTCTTAATTACTTATCTCCAATGATAAGTTGATCTCAGGAACTGTTGGATTTCATTTTCTTAACTTTGAAGGTTAAATGAGCTAACGTCTATAAAATCATTACACGATGCTAAATACATTGAAGATACTTATAGATGAAGTTTTTTCTCATTAATAAGTTATTTCTCACTAACACATAGAATTCTGATATCGTGGAAAGAGTTGAACATAAATGCAAACACATATATATCTATATGCCGACATATAACTTCCCACTAAAGTAAGTTAATTCAATTTTGTCTTGTTCAATTCATTATCTTGCAAGAATGAGATTATTCACTTGCATAACTAAAACGATTTTATTAGTATTAAAATACAGGAATTTTAATCAAGCACGTCCTGTAATCATACTTCTGCACATCCAAACTGAATGAGTGTGTTTCTGGACATTTCTAAGTTTCCTCTCTTTCAACAAAGTTCCTACAGATGTTTGAAAAAGGCATTTCAGTTGATAGATGTTTTTTTTTCTTAAATTCTAATAGACATATGACAGAGAGGATGATTATGATGCTTCAAAGTTGACAATGTAGACTAATTTTACAGTATACCTATAGCTACCAGGGAGATGAAAAAATTTATATCGAGCTATTAGCTCTGTTCTCAAAACAAGGAGGAGATTAATGTGATGGAATAACAAATAATCATGAATGTAAAGGATTTCGACCACCCATGAGCTCCTCTGCCTTGCCTATACACCTGATTGCAAATGTGTGGAGAAAAC